GGAAGTGCAGGTAGAGAACATAAGGGAGGCTGTAGTCAGGGCTGGGTGGTGGACACCTGAGGATTCGTTATCCTGTGTGTATTTTGTGGGTATTATTTAAGGTCCTTCTGTACTATGGGTCCTACAGTAACCAATAAATGGCCCTGATTTAGCTTTAGCTTTAAACTTTGGATTTTCATAGATTGGATTTTCTTTTAGTATCATTTAAAAAAAAATGACACATAATAACTACACATTCATGGGATACACTGTTATATTTTGACACTGTTAGACAATGTGCAATGGTCAAATCAGGGTACTTAGCATATCCTTCACCTCAAATATTTACCATTCCTTTGTGTTAAGAATACTCCAATTCCTCTCTTCTAGCTATTTCAAAATATACAATAAATTATTAACATAGTTACCTACTATGCTGTAGAACATGAGAAGTCAATCTTCCTAACTCTTTTCTTGAACCCATTAACCAACCCTCCTTTACCCCCTCTTCCCGCCCTTCCCAGCCACCAGTAACCATTCATCTACTCTCTGTTTCTAAGAGATTAAATATTTTAGCTTCTGCCCATCAGTGAGAACAGGAATATTCATCTGTTGGTACTTGATTTATTTCACTTAACGAAAGATCTTCCAGGCTCATCTATGTGCCACAAATGACAAGATTTCATTTTTATGGATAAGTAATATTCCATTATTTGTTCACACATGCCTTATTTGTTTTATCTATTCGTTTGTTGAAAGACACCTAATTTGATTCCATATCTTGGCTATCATAAAGAGTGAAGCAATAAACATGAGTGTGTCAATATCCCCTTGGTATACTGATTTGCTTTCCTTTGGATGTATATCCAGTAGTGGGATAGCTGGATCATAGGGTTGTTTTATTTCTAATTTTTTTGAGAAGTCTGTATACTGCCTTCCATAATCACATTTCTAAGAACACTGTATAAGTCCTTAAGAGTTCCTTTTTCCTGTATCATTGTTAGCATTTCTTAATTGTTTTTTTTGTCTTTTTGATGATAGTAATTCTATCCTGGAATGAGATAATCTCATTGTGGTTTTGATCTACATTTCTCTGATTAGTGATGTTGAACTTTTTTATATACTTCTTGACTATTTTATATTTGCTTTGGGAAATGCCTTCCCAGATCATTTGTCCATTTTCTAATTGAAAGTTTTGTTTTGTTCCACTTAACAGTTATGATTTGTTCCATCCAAATCCCTATGTTTTGTTCAGTGAACTTAAAATATTTATTATTTTTCTTATAAAAATATTGCTTACAAGGAAAATATAAAACTACTTCATTAACGTTAACAACAAGCAAGAGGACATACATGCTCTCCAGCAGTTCAGTTACTTTCCAAAACAAGTTGCTGCAATATCCCACTAACAACCTGTGCATAATCATTTTGGTTATCTTTGCACAAAATGGATATTATCATACTTGATATCTCAGCCTCCATGTGGAGCCATAGCATTATGATATGAATTTAAAATGTCCCCAGAGGACTCATGTGTCAAAGGCATGGTCCACAGTACAGCAATGTTTGGAGAAGGAGCTTTTGGAAAATTATTGGTCATGAGGGTCTGGTCCCATCTGATGGGTTCATAATTGAATGGACTACTGAGAAGTGAAAAAACTGGAAGAGGTGGGGCTGGGATGGAGAAACTATCAGTGGAGGTGCTGGAACTTCTGAAATTATGAGCCAAAATAAACCTTTTCACTTTTAATTTTCTCAGGTACTTTGTTGCAGCAATGGAAAACTGACTAACACAAATATTTATATGAAATATTAATGTACAAGACAGCCTTTTAAGGCATTAAATGAGGTTATATATATATTTTACAAGTTCAATGGGCAGTTTGCTTTTTCATTTATTTTTCCATTTAATATTTTGTATTTTTTTACTGATTTATAGAAGGTATTTATATAGATAAAAGACTTAGAGTTTTCTTCATTGATTTCTCTCTTTTATATTATACTAAGAAAATCCTTTTTGATATATGATATAATTCTCCTTGCTTTTTACTATTTCATAATTTGTATTTTTACATTTGGATTGATTTTTGTGTGGAGAATAAGAAAGGAATCTAACTTTCTATTTTCTAAATGGATAATCAATTGTCCCAAAATTTCTTATGGAAAGCGCATGCTTTTTCACAGAATACTGCAATCTAGTTCCTTGTTCTGTGTCTTCATCCCCAATCACAGATTAGAGCCATTGTGCCCACACTGATGGAAGAGCTCAGAGAGCAGCATCTTCTTCTGGGACCTGATGATCCCGAGTGAAGTGACTGGTTCAGGGTCACAGAGAACTTTCAGAGCCGGGACAGGAGCTGGGCTTTGATGTTGAAAGGCGGTTCTCTCTCTCTCCATATCTTTTTTTTTTTTTTTTTTGGTGCTGGGAATCGAACTCAGGACCTTGCTCCTGGGAAGCAGGCATTGGAACCACTGAGCTAAATCACTGGCCCCTCTCCATAAGTCATTCTACTCCTCCTTGCAGCCCTAAGTGCCAACACACACCAGGTTGAATGGGTTGTGCTTCGTCGATTGCAATGTGACATTGGGAATTTCACCTGTGAGTCCACATATGTAGGACCTTGACTTGCAATAAGGATCATCTCTTAGTGTCTGGAGGTGTTTTCTAATAACCATGTTTGGCAGAGTCAAAAGGAGTTTTCTAGACCTACAACAGCTCAATAGCCACTGAAGCCACAGGACAAGAATTGAGGCAGTGCAGAATGGAGCAACCACTGTAGAAATCAATATGGAGATACCTCAAAGAACTAGGATTAGAGGTCCCATTTGACCCAGCTAGACCTCTGCTGGGTATCTTTCAAAAAGAACTAAAAGAAGCATACCACAGTGATACATGTGTATCCATGTTTATAGCGGCACAGTTTGTAATAGCTAAAATTTGGAAAGAGCCCAATTGCCCATCAACTGGAGACTAAATAAAGAAGATATGTTTTTTTCTATAAAATGGAGTGCTACTCAGCCATAAAGAATGCAAAACTAGAAACATTTATAGCTAAATGGATGCACATTGAGGTTATACTCTTAAGTGAAATAAATAGGACACATGAGTAAATACTGAATAGTTTCTGTGGTGTGAAAAACTAAAAGTGTAAATAAGGTTCAAATGGTATAATTGATAGTGTGACATAGGAAGAAAAGGTCTAAGGGAGAAGGGACATTGGGAAGGGTAGGGGAAAATAAAAAATATGAAAAAAGGAAAAAAATGTAAACAATGTCTTTGCGTAACTGTACTGTTTACCTTAAATGTATCAATAAACAATAATAAAAAAAAAGAAATGAGGCTCCTGGACCCATGATATGAATTCCTTAAGTCCTTGAAACACTGGATACCTGGTCATGCATCTTCTTCCTCACTGCCCTGTCCATCCAGCATGTCAGTCCTTGTAGCTGAGCACCTCTTACCCACTGGCCATCTGTCTCTGCGGCTGGAAGACTCCCTGGGAATCTCTTTGACTGGCTGTGCCCTGCCCAAGGCACATGTGACCAGCTCCTTGGGAGGAACCAGACAGACACCTCCCTGGGGGAGGAGCCACTCATCCAAGGGATGCTGCTCCTTGTCTGCTCGGAATAAGCATCTTTAAGACGTTGGGTGAGAATGGGGAGTGAGGATGTTGGACAGGTTGAGTCATCATCCAGCTGGCATAGGAAGCCTAGCACCCTCCAAATCCAGGAACAGTTTCTTTCAGGCCACACCTAGGAAAAGCTCTGCTCCTCATCACCCGCTCAGCTGCTAACTCCTAGTCCAGCTTTGAGCCACTGTGGAAGATGCCATCCCACCTGGGTCAGAGTTCAGGGCGAGCCTGGGAGATAATCCCTTCTTTACACTATCATTGGAACAATTCTTTGGTCCAGTTTTATAGATTTGTACAAGTGGAAGTATTTATTTTTTTTTATCTCCATTAGATTTAAAGAAACATTGTTTGTAGCTTTATTGTTTTTAAATTACTACATGCCTTGGCATTATCTTGAAATAGAATATTCCATGGTAACTGTGATGAGATGGCGGCTAGCGAAATGTGATTGTATCCAAGCTGAGAAATAATTCTAAAGCAGAGAATAAACTCCTTGGAAGCCACATTTCTAAAGGATCTCGACAGTAATATATAAACCACTGAAGTAAAGTTCAAGTGGTGTGTAAATGTCACCAGGTCCATGATATTAAAAATGCCATTTTATAGCATACATAGTTTGGGTGGAGTTCATGATTATTAAATCTTGGATAGCACCAGTCAACACATTCAAAATGTTATATTCTTGTGTGGGATCACACTGTGTTCCCCAGGCCACCTGGACTCACCCAGGGGTCTGTGAGTGAAGCCCTTGCCAGATGCAGAAAAAGCCAGCTTTGGCGGTAGGGAGCAAAGGGACTTACGAAAGGACAGGAAGCCAGCTTTCTCTCTGAGCAGCCCGTGGTGGCTCCCCTCTAGTAGGAACCCATCGCAGGTCCTGCTGGCTGTTTTCAGAACCTGATAGGTCCTGCAACTGAGGCATCCCTGAAGAACGGAGTCCAGTTACGTGGCTGCTCTTGGAGACCTGATGCCACACCCTTCTGTGACACCCATGCCCGGGCCCATCTTCTGGTTGTTTCAAGCAGCCTATTTGTTATTTTTATATAAATAGGACTGACTCATTCATTTCACTTTAATTCGACAAGCTTTTATTGAGGACTTGCTATTTTAGGCACTGTGGTTGGTCATTGTCACCTATTTATTTCCGAGTGGAAAGTCAGTAATGAAGATGGAAACCAGACTCCATAGATTGGAATATATTGCTTCTGGTTTTCACAAATGTAAATCAAAGCCCTAAAGATTGCTAGGAATGGTGCTGGGCTGGAATCACTGTGTGCTGTGCAATGCTCAGGGAGAATGTGTGTGTGTGTGTGTGTGTGTGTGTGTGTGTGTGTGTGTGTGCGTGTGCTGTGCAATGCTCAGGGAGAATGTGTGTGTGTGTGTGTGTGTGTGTGTGTGTGTGTGTGTGTGTGCATGTGCACGTGAGTACTGTGAATTCATAAGGTCACCAAAATGTAGAAATACTACTTTCCAAGCTGAGAGACTGGTCTGGACTCTTCTGGATCTTCTTGGAAATGGGGCCGTTCAGAGATGGACTAAATCAACTAGAGTACGAAAACTCAGGGCAGGGACCCTTCTCCCCACACAGACAGATCCCACCTCCATACACATGCACGCACCTTGTTTCACACTTGCCCTGTGAAAAGCACACACTGCAGGTAGAGGCCCAGGTAAGATGTATTTCAGGCCACTCAGCAGGGGAGTAGAGAGACAAACTCACCCATACCCCTCTGCCTGGACGAAATTTCACTGTTGGTGTCATGAAGTGGGACTTCAGAGGGGAAATCTGCTGAGGGCATCAGGCTTCGGACAGACTTCCTGTTACACCTGGATCCCCAACAATTCCCACACAAGTGAGGCAGGTGAGCCACAGGAGCCCAAAGCCCAGGATAATACCCCCATACAAGTAGGACCCAATGCTGCTCACCTGAATGATCCTATGTCAGATCCCAGCTCCCTCCCTCCCATCGCCAAGGGCCACAGCCCTCACGTTTAAAGCCAGCGCATCCTTGTGTTGGGCGCTGAAGCTGGGATGACTTACCTAATAAGGCCAAGGATCTTTGGGCTTGTTTGGGTGACATTAAATAGCAAATCTCCTCAGTCATAAACTAGTGGAGCTCACAGTCTCACGCCAGGCAGTGTGGCTCAACTCTTCTGTGTGCTCATGCTGACCCGGGGGGCGGGCACGATTCCAAGTCAGCTATGTCCCAGCCTGCCCAGGGAAAGTGAAGAACATCTTCGGGAAAGTTTTGCGAGGAACCACATGCCATGGACTGCAGATATGAGAGAGAGAGGATTTTCTTCGGACCCCTTTGCCTGCCTTAGCCACCTGGCAGCACAGTCACCCACAGTAGCCTTGACTCCACGATCCTCCCAATGTCCCTTCCTCCCCAGGTCTGAGCAAAGCTGTGGCCCAGATCTCGGCCTCCACAGCAGGGACCTGTACTCTCTCCCTGGCTCACTTCTCACTTTTGTTGTCTACTGGGAAATTTTCCCAGGATTCGGCTGTGCTCCACTCAGTTTTCTAAGTGACAGAGTGACAGAGTGACGGCACAGGTGTGTGTGGCTGCAGATGGTGCACCTGGGCAGTTGGGAGTTGCTTAACTACTCTTAGGTCAGGAGAGCTGCCATTCTTGGCAAAACCAAGGACATTTAGAGTTTTTATTTCTAGTTGCAACCTGATTCTTATTATGGGCCTGTACTGACGTCAGTAATAAACAATAATAAGATTGTAAACTATTGCTCTTTATAATAAAATTATGCTTCTTGAATGTATTATAAATCTAATAGCTATTACATCAGCACCCGTAACTATATATCATGTTTACCTTTTAAACATACACAGAGTGTTACATGGTTCAACCGAAATGGCCAGATTTATTATTACTGGTTAGCCACAGCCCTTATTACATCACAAATGACTAATCAGCAAAAAACAAAGGGAGACGCAGTGACAGAGGTGACCTCCCCCATGGCTCTCGGGGCAGGGAGTGACAAATGGTGGCAGCTGCCTCACTGGGCCCTCTCCTTCTACCTATGCAGACATGGCTATAGGCTGGGGTCTGGAGATGTCTCCAGGTGCCACCCAGAGGGTCACATGAGCTATGGGAAGGCTACAACAATCACAGCATGCACCCTGGATGCAAAATAACTTCTAAATAAGTAGCTCATTGCTAAATTCACTTTAATAAATCATTTTTCCTCATCCTGGGAGCCCGTGATTTCATCACCCTTGGGGAGGGTTCTGAACTTCCTTGCACAGAGACCTTTCCACATGGGGCTGGGTTATCTGTTTTTGTTTTCTGCATTCTCATAAAATGAAGGAACAAAAGAATTGGAGTGACAGTAACCAAGGGCCAGAAACATTGCATCAAAGTATTTCAATAAGTTATTATTAATAATAGCTACATTTTAAGTTTCTCCTACTAGTGGGGTCCACTGACAAACTCCATATCACCTCTCTTAAAGCCCTTCCCAAATCTAAGGGACTGTGTGGGAAGGGGAGCTTCCTGGTTTTCTGGGAGAAAAACCAAAATGCAGTGGTACCCTGAAATCTCTCCATGCTGCACCTCAAGAAGGTAGGAATTTGAGACCCCAGGCCAGGGTTCCACTGCCACCTTAGGAGCCAGGGGGCTGGAGATGCCCACGGGGGGCCTTCCAGGTTCTCCTGTGGACAGTAGTGGGTGACACAATTGCGGATCCCCCAGGCACTGAAGCCATGGGTCTCTGCCAGCCAGGGTGTCCCCAAGGAAGGAGGGGTGAGTGTGAGAGGACAGGATGAGGCTATCATCACCATGCTGGGCTCTGTACCCCTCCTTGGAACATCGTCCAATGAGGACAAGGTAGTGGGGGACACAGGTGCTGTCTGACCCAAGCAACCTGTGGATGTGTGTGCCAGAGCCCATCTCCTCACCTCCCCTGTCCCCAGCACCAGAGAGGAGAGGTGGCTTGTGGGTGCGAGGCACACAGGGAGCGGGAGACAGACAGGAAAGGGCCTGGCTGTGGGGACAGTCGCCCTGTGCCAACTGACTTCCCAGACTAAAAGCCCGGTGTGAGATTCCCAGCTTGGCACCTGCTCCAGAACCTTCCTGATAAAAAAAAGGTTGTCTTCATTAAGAGCATTAATATTCATGCAGCATGGTAATTTTGACACAGAAAAGGTCTCTGTAACCTTTTCTTGTGTGAGAATTTTTTACTTCTCAAGGAAATTACAGTCCAGCAATGACTTAATTAATGCTGGGTTTCCTCGGCAGGTTTGAGGAGCTGTCAGTTTGGGGTTGCAGGAACTGTCAACCAGGGAGCAGCCGGGCTGGGAGATGGGCAGGGAGGGCCCGGCCCCCACAGGGGTCCATGGGCTGGTGGGGGATACGCACCGTCCCCCATTAGTTTTAATTTAGCAACCGGCTTTCCCTAATGCTGGGTCATTTATTATTGGGATGGAGGGCACAGCTTGAATTAATAATCCATTTTTCACCCAGCGTATTTATTCTTTTTATTTTAATGATTTTGCTCCTAATCCGTTTGGCTCTGGTAATTTTGGCTGAAGAAGGACGAAGAGGGTGGCTGGCATCCAGGAGGAGTGGCAGCCAGTAGCTTCCTTGCAGGCTGTGACAGCCCCAGAAGTGAAGTAAACTGTCCTTGGCTTTAAAAAAACAGTCACCACCACAGAAATTGCTGCAGGAGATGAAAAGCCAGGTATCAGAACCATGGCAGCTTTCACACTGCACACTGCTTTCCATCCTGCAGGAGAGTCTGCCTGTGGAGAAGAGGATGGGGTTCGGGCCACTGTCCCGAGGCTGCGGAGCTCCTAGAGTCTCGGCAGCCCTGCATGAATCGTCCCTTGCTAGCTGACACTTTCAAGCCATTGACCGTGAAGGCCTAGGGTGTAGTCCAGCCCCCTCCCCCTTCCCTGGTTCATCTTTGCTCTTGCTCCGCCTGCAGCATTCCCAGGCCCCGGAGAAGGCCCCCTGTGGGATGCCATAGATACAGGGGACTCCACATACATACAGAAGACACAGCAGACCCTATCTGACACACACAAGAGTCAGGCTTCATAAAGTGAGGAGGCGGAGAGACTGGGGAGCACTTGTTTCTAAAGGTCCTAAATCTGCCACGGTGGAACGGGCTACCCTGCCATCATCCACAGAGTAGTTCTTAGTTTTTATTTCTAGAAACACTGACAATGAGTTGGAGCATGGCTCCAACATTCCTCTGTAACATTCCCCGGGCTGAAATAAGGAAGATGAAGGCTTTCCAGGCTCCTAAAAGCCAGAGAACTTTGGAACAACAGGAGTCTCTGATATCACAAGCAAAATGGAAGCTTCCAGAACACTTAGGAGCAGGGTCTGCCTCCTTGCATATGGGTCAGGATGGAAGCATGTTTCAGCAAACTTAAAGAGTCCAAGGCGAGAAGAACAAGAGTAAAGGCCACTTTCCAGCCGCAGAGAATAAATCAGCAGTTTTTCTGCACAGGCACATATTGGTAAGTTTGGGCACAACATCCACAGCCAATCCTGACTTTCTGTCTATCTTTCTGAGCACACATGGGTGACTGTTAAAGAAAGAAATGCCTTGAATATTGGGTGGGAAAAGAAATAGTGCTCATTCCACCCCAGGACTCTTTGACAAGTGAGCGTACCTCGGGGAGGAGACCACAGAATGGGCACAGGCCTTATGGATCCGGGCAGTAGGCGGTGGGCATCACACTGCAGCCTACACTTCAGTAGCAATGGGCAGGCTCAGCCAGCAGGCCAGCCTTTGGGGCGGCTGATGTCACATCGGAAGCCAAGCTGGTCCCTGGGCTCCGTGACTAAGCCCAGGCATTGCAATTCAAGTGGAAAACACCAGCTCCCCGGGGCCCTGCTGCATACTTAAATTTACGTTTTTACAACCTGATGAAAAATCTTCCCAGGAGGAAGGCAGAGTCTCCCTGCCCCTCCACCTGTATTAAATTCTGCAGTAAACAAAATAAGAGCAGCACTGAGAGTCATGTTCGCACTTACTGCTGCTGAGTGCCGGTGGGGCCCCGAAGGCCATCTCCCCAGGCTGAGGATAAATAATACATACTGTGTTTTTAATATCATTAGGTTCCCAAATAAAATAAATATTTTACACCACTGGGGCATAACAAAGTAGGCAGATGGACCGGAGAGGCAGAATTAAGAGCCAAAGAGGAGGCAAAGAACACCAGGCCCTTGGTAGGGGTGGGGAAGCCCACTAGATTCACTGGGTTCAGCCACTTGGGTAAGAAAGAGGAGAGTGCCTTGGTGAGGTTTGTAAATAATAACAAAAATATATGGAGCATCTGGTTGGAATTGGGAAATATCTCTTACACTCTGGAGAGAGAGACCAAGAACTAGGCATGTTTCCAGGACTGTATTTACTGGCTGGCGGTGGCATTACAGTAAATTTCCTATGCCTCCCCTAAAAAACCTTCTCCTCCCTTGTTCTGACATTAAGAAGCAGTCAAGTGCAAGTGTTAAATGCACCAGAAGAAACTGTATCAGAGCTAAAAGGGATCTTGCTATTCCAGACCCCTTCCCCAAGCGCTGGGCAGGTGGTGCCCCAGTCTCCTGTTGCTGGTTCGGGACACTTCCCAGCACCCACAATCCAACATTGCCTCAGGCTGCAAAGGGGATCTTTGGACTGGAACTGCCCTTTAATGGGACCTCGAGGTCTCCACTGTGGCCAGCAAGAGTTTGAGGTGGTAAAAGTGAGGTTTGGAGTTCACGAGGCCAAAGCAGTAGGAGCACCTGCCCCACCCAAGCAACCACAATGGCTTTGGTGGCAGCTCTGAACTCTGAACCCAATACCAACACCCCAGCTTAATAGAAGAGAGGGTTCATTTGCTCACAGTTGTTGCCCATGGTCAGCTGGCTCCAGGGCAGAGACACCATTATAGAAGTGCTTGCTGGACAAAGCTCATTCATGTGGCAAGAAAGCAGAGCAGGGGAAGAGACAGGATGGAAAGGACGAGGGACCGTAGACCCCAGTCCCACACCTCTGTGACCCACCCAGACACACCTAGAAGTGTGCTCCACCAACCAGAGTTGGATCACAAAGCTGGACAAACCGAAACTCCATCCTAGCTGCCAGTTGGGGTGCCAGACTGACTCCCAAACTGGGGTAAGCAAATGGGTCAGAAAGGAACTGAGATCAGGTCACCGAGAGGTCAGAGGAGGGAAAGGAGGGACTCTGCAGCAGCCCCCTTTCAAGGCTGTTCCTGGTCAACCCTCATTTCCTACTAACAGACCCTGGTCCTATTCAGGTATCAGGCACAGATCTCCTGATGTGGAAGATGGACCCATTCTTTCTGCCCTAAGGACTGAAGTATAGTACGTCATATTAGTGACTGTACATCACTGTCTGTACATGACTCAGTTCTGATGGGGAGGGGGTGATCAAGGAAAGATTCCTTACCAGATGATGAAGCCTCTGAAGAAGACATCCTCTTCTCACTGCCTTATCTTTAAGTGAGAGTGTAATGTCTGGAACCACAGCAGTCATTTTGTGGCCTGAAAAGGTAACCATAAGGTCACAAAGTGTGGAATATATTGCAGACAAAAACAGTGGCACACTAAACGGTGAAGCTCATCGTACAGCTGCCTTAGCAGCTCTGTAGCATCTGAGCTAGCTGACCTTGTTGCTGAAGGCTCTCTTAGCCAGGCATCCCAATTTCCTGTACATCCTAACCATACATTTTACCCTATGGCTAGCAGAGCCCCTGGAGATCAAGACAGTGAGACATAGCAGGGAAAGGAATTTGAGAAGTGGAGCAGGTAGTAATGGGATTGAGATGTGTAGAATACACAAAAGCAGGACAGGAGACAGGAGACCAGCTCGCGCTGCAAAATCGAGCTCATCACCTGGCCTTCAAGGCATGGAACTAGGAAGTCTAGGTAAAAGGCAGACAGCCGTGTTGGATGCTTGGGGTGGCTGGGCTGGGACAGCATTGCCAGGTTCCTGGTGTCCTGACATAGTGCAGGTCCCAGAAAGCCTGTAAAACAAAGGTTAGCCAGGCCAGAGTCTCCTGAGGGGAAAGCAGAGACCCAGAGCAAAGTCAGGGGGCTGCAAGATGGGGACCCCACAGAGGGTCCTTGGGATAGGAAGAGAAAATAGAGCAGTGTGCACATCCCAGGAAGGGAGCAGGCTTGGGGAGGGGTGCTCCTATTTGCTTTTCGTCTTGTGGCTAAAGCTTTGTTACTTCTCTTTCTAAGAGATAGGCGGAACTAACCTGCTTCCCGAGCCAGGGAGGCTGGGAGTCTGCGAAGACTCAGGCTCTTTCCCTGCCCCTTCAGATGCCCCTGTCTCTTGTTTTGCAGGTTCTGTCGTCTCTGCCCGAGGGTCACGCGGCCCCATCACAGCGACGCTCACACTTGTCCACAGACAAAAGCTCGGAGGATGAAAGTAGAAAACACCAGAGAAAACTGTCTGGGCGCTCTGACCCTGTCGGATCCTGGGACTCTGGAACATCCCCAGTAACGAGATGAACTCATTGCTTACATAACGATGGGGTTGTTCTTCATAGCGGTGACATCTTAGCCTTGAATTATGATAATAGGCTGTGTGAAAATGCTATTTTTGTTTTCAAAATACTTCCTGATATGCTCTCTTACTTTAGTTTCAAAACAGTTTCATAAGGATCCCGATGGGCTGCAAATGAGACATGAATGCCTGGCCCATGCTAGAGGCCCCAAGAGCCAAAGTAGCCTCAGGGGAAGTTCTGTGGTTCCTCTTTGGATCCAGATCTCAGCCCTGCCCAGAAAAGCGGTGGGAGGCCCCTGCAATGCCTGGCCCTCCCCTTGTACCTGCCTTCCGGTTCTGGACCTCTAGGAGTGGAGGCTGGTTGCAGGCCCTGGCCTGCAGTCACCAGTGCTGAACACAAGAACCTTCCAGAGTCATCGATGATGCCCAGAAGGGCCAGAGCCTCCTCTGCATCTTCCTCTGCAGCCTGCTTGCTGCCTTTAGTCCCTGTGAGGGCCCCCATGGGCTTCCTGAACTTCTGGGCTGGCCAGGACCTGAGAGAAATGACATGGGACCCTACAGAACACGTTTTCACCCCTTCCACCCTGAGGGTGTGTTTTCCTGGAGTCCTTTACACTGACCCTCTGCTCTGTGTTGAAGCTATCACTGTCTTATTTTGGGGAATGATTCCCAAACCCACTGTCCCAACCTGAGCTCTCTTCCCAGGCCTTTCTTCAGTGCTTCTGGCCCATATTCTTGGGAGGCCTCCTCCAAAGCCCATGCTCAGATGAATGGAAACCAGTCACGATCAGTGCCCTTCTTCATGGCATGCCTCGCCACCAGCTCTGACATGTCCCTCCCTGCCTGAACCCTTTACTCCTTTCCTAGACATCCAGCCCACTTCTGTAGACCTATGTGCTATGCCTAGTACTGTCAGCAGCCATTCTACACAATGTTGGGGAAAAGATCGTTTCACAATTATACTGTTTAGGGCTGTATGAGGCCTAGTCTACTTGTTTCTGGGCCAGTTATGGGCCAGCATGCTGAAACATAACTCTATTTTTCCTCCAATCACAGCTGAGACCCCAATAGTCCCAGGATGCTGTGATGCTCAAGGCAAGAATACATCCTCTGAAGACATTCAGGTTCTTTGAGAACCAAGAAGTAATACAAAGAGAAAGGTTTCACCTGGAGAAGGACAAATTCCTTATCAGCTTAACTCATCCCACCTACTGTTGTGAGAACCTTTTTGCTCATCTCACCATCCTAATCATCATACACTCCTCATTGATTAATATCTTTATCAGCATAAGATCCTCATCGTCATAGGATTATTGGTACCCTCTGAGTCATCTGATACTTTCTATTAGCCCAATAAATAATGGCAAGCTTGGAGTGCTTTTGTCTTTGCTGTTTAGAGCAGCACTGACCAGGCCCAAGACCCAGCCTTTTCTCTAACTTTCATTTCCTGTCTTTATTCTCCAAGTAGCTTTGTGCTGTCATGGTTCACAGGAGTCCAGGACCCACTGCAGGGGTTCTGGTAAGGTCCCTTTTCCTGTTCCCTAAATAGCACCACAGATAAACACTAACAGGAATGGAGCCTACAGTTAGGAGCATTGGAGAGGGTATGTAATTGAAAGTTAGAAGGCAGGACTTTAAAACGGTCTGGAATCAACCTCTTGTTTCATAGACACCCAAAATAAGGCCTCAAATTCAGGAAATAGCCAAAGATGACACAGATAAAAACAGGCAGAATGGGTCTGACCTTGGGTCCTCTTGCCCCAGGTAAGCACTCTGCCCACAGGATTGCAAGAATTCCCCCAGAGGACAAGGCTGCAAGAAGGGACAGGGACACCCAGAAACAGAAATCTTTTTACCTCTTTGCACCTGCACCTTACTGTCCTGCATAGGCAGCTGCAGGCAGGATCAAGACAAGCAAAGTGCACGCACAACGCTGGCTGTTTGGGCTGCCCCGTCCCCAGAGAACTGCGAGCTCAGTGTGGGGACTTGGCACAGTGCTAAGCCCTGTCACAGGAAGAAAACAAAAGCAAGAGCAAGAGAACTCATTTGGTTGGGGTGCAGCTTGGAGAGAGCATTTGCCTAGCATGTGTGAGGCCCTAGACTCAATTCCCACCACGGGAAGAAAGGAAGGAAGAAAAGAGGGAAGGGAGAAGAAGGAAAGGAAGGAAGAAGGAAGACAAATCACTATCCAAAAAAGTGATATCCTATATGAGTAATACAGCAAATCACAATGGAATGTAAAGTTAGAACAATATTCTTTAAGATACGGCATAGTACAAGCATACTGGTCATTTTAATCTCATCGATGTAGTAGCGCGTTTTCCACTCGTTTCCAATTTCTTTTGGGGAACAATCTTGTTTCATCCGCACCACTTTGCTCCTGTGCATGTGACAGCTGGCCACCCCAGCTGCAGGGTGTCTGATTTTCACTTGCTGATGTAGATGCTCTTCTGACGCATTCAACCTTTTAAATAAATCATTCATTTTTTTAAAGGTTGGCTATGTCATAGTGTCGTGATGCACCCAATTTTTAAAATAACTGTTTATTCGGTGTCAGAAATATCAGACATAAAAATAAATGTGGCCTGCTAGAACGTTTTAAAGTGTATTTTTATTAGTGCCTATTAATTTTACAAACATTGGTTTCCATGTGGTATTGTGATACATGGTCATATGCGCCCTCCCTATTATACACTCTCTTGCACCTTCCCTCCCTTTATTCCCTTCCTCTTGTCTAGCAGTAGTATCCCTACTACTTTCATGCCATTGACTTTTGGACTCCAAATAGTAAGGAAAACATGTGATGCTTGTCTTTCTGAGTCTAGTCTGGTTTATCTTGACTAACACAATGGTCTCTGGGTCTCTCAGCTTTGCTGTGAATGATTTTAGAGTTCTGCTGCACAGTTAGGTGTCTGCAGTTTATGATAAACAATCATGCATTTCACATGTAATTAAAAGAGAAGAGCTTGAAGGCCCCCAAAATCAAGAAATGATGAGATGAAAATGCCAATCATCCAGATTTAATCATTACATATTGTATATATATATATATATATATATATATATATATATATATATATGTATATATATATATATACTACCTTCTCTCTATCCATTCATCTGTTGGTGGGCACCTAGGCTGGTTTCGTATCTTGGCTGTGGTTAACAGTGCCACATTAAGCACAATTTGCAGGTATATTTGTACTATGCTGACTTTCAATTCCTTTGGAATATACTAAGGAGTGGCATAGCTAAGTCACATGGCATTTCTATCATTAGTTCTTTTTTGTGGGACCTCCATACTGCTTCCCAAAATGGCTGTACTAATTTACATTCCCACTAGCAGTGTAGAAGATTAGCTTCCCTGCACCCCAAATCTACACCAGCATTTTTTGTATGCTTTATGATAGCCATTCTCACCTGTGTGAGATGGACTCAGTGTAGTTTTGGATTGCATTTCCCTAATGGCTAACGGTATTGAACAGTTTTTCTTGCACTTATTGGCTATTTGTACTTCTTTTGTGAAGTGCTGGGTCAGTTCGTTTGCCCAGTTATCAACTGGGCTGTTTTCTTGGTGTTACATTTTTTGAGTTCCTTATATATTCTAGATATTAATCCTCTGTTCGAACAGTAGTTGGAAAGGACTTTCTCCCTTCCTATAGGCTGTCTCTTTACTCTGTTAGGTATTTCCATTGCGTTGTACACTTTTTTGTTAGTATTTGTTTGCAGTGCATGCATTATGCAATCATCTTGGGAGTGAATCCAAGTACGTAATACAAGTTGATTTCTTTTTTAAAAATCCCCCCCCATCTCTTCCCTCTCCCTCCTCCTCTAATTCCCCTTTAACTCATTTTCAATCTTATTGATATTAATCTCAGCTCATGCATTGGGCATATAATGTTTACATTCACTGAGTTTATTAGGTTCCTGTACGTGGCATAACTTTATCCTACTTATTTCCCCTTCCACTTCTGTAGTCACATTTGTTGATTCTTGCTATTATTACCTTTTCAAGTAGTCTTTGCCTGTGCCTATGATTTCAAGAATTTCTCTTACATTTTCTCCTAGCAGTTTCAATTTTTTATGTCTTATACTTACATCTTCAACCCATTTTGAATTGATTTGTATATAGGGAGAGAGAGATAGAGATCTAGTTTCAATCTTCTGCATATGGATATACAGTTTCCCAGCACTATTTGTTGAACTGGCTATCTTTTTCTCCAATGTTTGTTTTAATCAGAATCAGATGCCTACAGTTCATGGGTTTTGGTGTACTCTGTTCTGTTCCATCAGTCGACCTGTTTATTTTTGTGTCCATATCATGCTGTTTTTGTTGCTATGACTTTGTGGTATAATTTGAAATCAGATATTGGGATGCCTTCAGCTTTGCCCCCACCTTTTAATTTTTTTGGTAACAGGGATTGAACTCGGGTCCTTGTGCTTTCAAGGCAGGCAGCAGAACCACTGAGCTAAATCCCCGGCCTGCCCTTTTTTCTTTAGGATTGCTTTGCCTATTCTAGGTATTTTGTGTTTTCATACAAATTTTAGGATTTTTTTCTTTTACTGTGAAAAATATCATTGGAATTTCGATGAGTATTACATAAAATCTATAGATCATTTTTAAGAATATATCCATTTTAATAATATTAATTCTGTGGATCCATGAGCATAGGACATTTTTCTATCTTCTGATATGTTCTTCAATTTCTGTCTGCAGTGTTCTATAGCTTTTATTGTAGAGATTTTTCACCTCCTCAATTTGGCTGATTTTTAGACATATGTTTCAAAGCAATTGTGACTAGAATTAGTTTCCTGATTTCTTTCTCAAAAAGTTTATTATTGGCATGT